GTTATGAACACTCATGATTGATTTATTTCAGTTCTTTTGAAGAGCATTTTATCAGCAACAAGACAGAAAACATCCGTGCACTGTTCAGTTTGATTGGTATTCCTATTAAATTTTTATGTCAGAAGTTCAATGTGCACATTTCATAGTGCTCCTCACAGTTGCTCGGAAATGTAAAAAAAAAAAAAAAAAACTTCTCTAAATATGGACTTTCATGATTTCTAAATGATTTCCCATGCTTTGTTTCTTCACAACTGGATTGGGGATTCAGGGTTATATTATGTAATACTCTTCAGACTTGCACTTTACTTTTTCGTCTCTGAGATGAATTCTTATGTAAATCAGTGTAATACATTTTGTATCTGTAGTACATCATGACATTTGTTTACTTGTATTGAAATTTCTGGCAGGAACACTTGATGATGCTTTTAAATGGATGAATAAAATTGACAAGTTCGAGCAAAAACATTTCCGGCTTCGCCCTGAATATAGGGTCATCGGTGAGTTGATTAACCATCTCAAAGTAGCTGAGGGCAAGGATAAATTCATTCTCCAGCAGAAACTAAACAGGGCTATGAGATTGGTGCAGTGGAAGGAAGCCTATGATCCAAACAATCCTGCCAATTATGGAGTCATTCAGCATGAACAAGTGGAGTCCTCAGTTGATCTCTTGGAACACGCTGGATTTGAAAAACAAAAGCAAATTATACAAGGAGTTGATGACGATGACGATGAAGAGTTCAATGACATGAAGGAGAAAGATGACATACTGTTAGAGAAACTTAACGCAATTGACAAGAAACTTGAAGAGAAGCTAGCAGAGTTAGATCATACATTTGGGAAGAAGGGTAAGGTTCTAGAGGAAGAGATCAGAGATCTAGCAGAGGAAAGAAATGATTTGACAGAGAAGAAGAGAAGACCCCTCTACAGGAAAGTAAGTACATTTATCATCAAGTGGACCTTTTACTGATTTTAATTCAGCATAGGCGACAACTGACAAACTGATTTTAGTAAGTATTCAGAAGTTTTGAAATTGTTGTGGGTTAATTTTGATGCATTTTCTTTTCAATTTTCTATCCAATGTTTTTATTCTTGTTATAACCTTCTCTTCTCTCTCTCTTCTCTCTCTCTCTTTTTTTTTTTTTTTTTGGTGGTTTTAGTTTAATGGTGTATGTAAATGATTCATTACTTGAGAGTACACATATCATCCATATGATGCCTGTAGAAGAAAGATTATATGTTGATTGTTTCTTATATGGTTAGCCATGTGATACTTTGAAGTTTGAGTGGAGTTTCCACAACTTTTTTTGTGTGTTTTCCAATCATTCTTACTAAAGTCTGTTCTTCGAAGAGTTTTATGTTGTTTTGATCACCATTGCATTTTCCCTTGCATTCGTATACATTTTTTTTTTTTTGCGTGCAAACTCCAATATTTTTGACCATTCTATCCATTACATGCTGGCAGGGCTTTGATGTTAAAATAATCAATGTGAACCGAACTTGTAAAGTTACAAAGGTATTCCCACCACCTTGCATTTTTTTTTTTTTTTTGCGGTACATACATTGCTTTTGATTTCTCGTAACAGAGAATGATGTTTCCACATTTCTATTTATGGCTTATAGGGGGGGCAAGTGGTCAAGTACAGTGCCATATTAGCTTGTGGGAACTATCATGGTGTTGTTGGTTATGCTAAAGCAAAAGGCCCAGCAGTCCCTATTGCTCTTCAGAAGGTATTTTGTTGAGAGCTATGAATTTTACAGAATTCCATATATTTACACAGTTTTAGCCTCATATTTTTTATTTGTTCATTTGGTAATGATTCAGGTTGCATGTCTTTGTGTGGTTTGGTTTGATTTTTTTTTCAAGTGTTAATATTTTAGAGGTAGCCATTGTGGTCAAAGTAATAGAACTGATTATTTTAGATTTAAACTGGATCATATCATATATGGTGTTGTAATATATCATGTATGTGATACACATTCTATGTAGGTATTAATCATATAGGATTGGAAATGAGAATTTAATTGAATGTCTGCTTCTAGTAATATTTGTATTCAGACTTAAAAGGTCTACCAAGTAATTTGGTTGGATCTATTTGGATAAGTTTCCAGTGGTCGATATTCGGATATATCCTGGTATAATCTGAGATTTGATTTTATAATAATAATAATAATTATTATTTTTACAAGATAGGCTTTGGTAAGTTCAATTCCTACAACTTTATGTATCGATGGTTCACCTGCGTTGGTACTCAAATAACAAAAATGCTTTTCTGTTGGGGAGAACAAAATGTGGGCAGATCACCCTAACTAGCCGTGGCAATTGTTACCCTTCTCGTCCAATGAAGCATGAATACTCCATTTTTTTTTTGGTGGAGTATTCGACACCCCTAATATGTGCCTAATGCCGTGTGGATAGTTCATTGTGTATCTAGTTTGACTTTTCATACGACATTGATACGTGAGGAATCCAGGATGGATATATGAAGGATTATTTTTAGAAATTTGTCAGGAAAAAAACGTATTGGTTGATTTTAAGTAGTGTTGGAATTATTTTCCGAAAAGAAGGGGAGATGAGTGGTATTTCAAAATTTTAAAGGCTAATATGAAAACAAAACATTACCTAACATAAATAAGAACCCTAAACCCTACTCAATAGAAGAGGATGGTACCGATCATTGGAGCACAATGAGCGCATCTTAGTTTCCAGAGAGATGTCATGTCCTTGCATTGTACACTGCATGTATATGCATGCAACATATTTGTCTGTCATTCTTCTTTTGGTTAGCATCCCCGTTATCTATGGGCAAAACGCCTTTTTTCATCTCAATTATTAGAAAACTCCTGTGGAAATGGCCATCTATGAATAATACTCCTTGTTCATGGAGATAAATCAACTCAGGGAGTATGACCAGTTTTTCTATTATCTAGGACCACATGAGGAGCATGCAATTGTACATGTGATACAAACAGCATATTAAAGATGGGAAGCCCACCATAGTTTTTCAACTTATAGAAATTAAAAACAGTTGTTCTTGTCAGTTTGGTGACTGTTTTCACTCTCGTTTGCTTTTGTCAGGATTTTGAACTTAATGTAAAGAGATTCTCTTATTCAAATGGCAAACATTACGGGTTTTAAGTGTTTCCTCTTTTGATCATAGACTTACTGGCAACTGTCATTTGTGAAATATTTACCTGAGTCATTCATGTTTCTTTTCTTTTGGTGATGCACGCATTGGTTTTACAACAATCAGGCGTATGAGAAATGCTTTCAGAATCTACACTACGTAGAAAGACATGAGGAGCATACAATTGCACATGCAATACAAACAACTTATAAAAAAACGAAGGTGATTGGCTCGTCTTTCTTGTATTGATTTTTTGTTCTGGTTTAGTATTTTCTTTGTTCTCCTCTTTTTCTTGTTTTTCCTCCATGATATAGAGCCTACCTTTAACCTGTAATTCTTATTAGGTGTATCTCTGGCCTGCATCCACTAGGACGGGTATGAAAGCGGGAAGAACTGTCCAAACCATTCTAAACTTAGCTGGTTTCAAAAATGTCAAGTCTAAGGTAATTGACTGTCAAAAGGAAGTCATTTTTACCAAGGGGTGGCTCCTGCAATTTGGTATGTTGGTCTAACGTCCACACTCTTGTCAGGTTGTAGGTTCAAGGAATCCTCATAACACAGTTAAGGCTCTCTTCAAATCCCTTAATGCGGTAAGTAGCCCCTTCAAATGTTATGTGATTTTCTTAAATTCATTCACTTTGAATTTATATTCACTGTGTCAATCTGTGCACTTTGCAGATTGAAACTCCAAAGGATGTTCAAGAGAAGTTTGGCCGCACTGTTGTTGAGAAGTACCTGCTGTGATAGATGTGTTTAATCTTGCTTGTTTGCAGAATTCTTTAAGTCCTGTTATGTTGTTCTGAAATAAGCTTGTATTCACTTATTAGATAATGTGATAAAAATGAAAATTTATTTATATGTTAGTTCTGTACTTGGTTAGTCTGGTTGGGAGGGGAGATGTGAGGAGGAAAAGCAAGTGCTGCGTAAGTTGAAAACACAAGGTAAAGGACCAATTCTTTTCTACCATAAGTTTTCATTCAAGAGATATGTAATTCAATTTGTTCCCCCTCATTCTGCCTAGCACTTGCTACTTTTTTTAATTTTTAATTTTTTATAACAATTTTTTTGAAAGGTTGCTTGGTTTTTTTGTTTTTGTTGTCTTACCCCCTCCCCAGAGTTGCTTTGTTTCTTTTAATTCAGTTCAAATGAGAAACAGAGAAAAAGGAGGAAGACCTTCGGTTTCGGTAAAGATGCATGTGTTTCAACTTGTGTGAGGTTTTATATTTAATTGATTTTCTTACGCACATTTTTATTACTTTTTTAATACATGAAAAATGGAATATTCTGCTTTATTTTTTCTTTTTCTTTCCATGTTTTTATATTGATAGAAAAAGTAAATTACAAGGTAGATCCATTAAGCATCTTATGTTCATACAAATCACAATGTATTCTAAAAGCAACCTCCCTCAGGAATTTACTAAACCATTTACAATTGGATGAAACTTCTCGTCCCTTTTTAGAAAGTGCATTTGCCACCATATTTGCTTCTCCATAAATATCCACTTCCTTTCCTTGCTTCGTTGCTTTTAGATATAGTGTGGTTGTTTGCGTTTAAAAAAATCGCAGCCATTCAATTTAATCGAATGGAATGGAGTCGTTCTCTTTTCTCCTCTCTCAAACTGACTCTGCCCTCTTACATTAAATTACAGAATTTATTTATAACCAAACGTGAAATTCTGAGTAAATCTTTGAGGAAGAAAACGTACATAGCAGTAGTTTCTTCCAAAAATTTACACAAACATAAAAAGCATTTTTCCATTATAATAATTGATAAACAGTAAAAAAAGAAGAATCGTATTATAGTTTTTACCGCAAGTTGTTCGTTAAAATCGAACCATTTTAGTTAAAAATTAATTATAATTAATTTGCTGTGTAAGTGAAAGATGAAAATTTTGAAGATACAAGGTAAGTTAAGGTCCTTGGGACACCTCAGCGGTGAGTGCAGTTGTCACGGACTCACGGGATCTGTTCATCATGAGTCATATGATCATTGACATGACATTAATCGGATCGGACCACACACTCCAACCAACGAGCCGAATACCCAAGAATTTTCTCAAGACAACATAATTGAGGTGAAGATAGAATTTGACAGTGTGGAAAATGGTAGTGTCATCGGAGGAGGGTACGGACAAGATCCGTAAGGTGGTGGGATTTGGGTACTGGGTGCAGGGCTTCAGGTGCTTCCCATGGATGGCCGTCAACTTCTTCCTCAAAGACGGCCTCCGCGTCGATTCCTCCACTCTCCAGCTTCTCCAGAACTCCGCCAACCTCCCCATGGTCGCCAAGCCCCTTTATGGTGTTGTTTCCGACGCCGTCTACATTCGTGGCCAGCACCGCATACCTTATATCGCCTTCGGAGGTACCTACTTACTACTTACTACACCACACCACACCAATTTCTTTTTTCTTTCTTTCCTGAATGTATGGCTTCATCTTCGTCACCTTTTGGAAAACCTAATTTTGAACTTCGTTATGAATTATCATTGATTAATTATTCCTTTTGTAAAACCTAATTTTGAACTTCGTTATGAATTATCATTAATTAATTATTGTAAAGAAAAATAATTTTTTTTTTTACACGATTGGCCTTTTTTGTCTTAAGCTTCTTTTTTATTTACTTTGTCGGTGTCGATGTAGTTTTGAATTAATAATTTGATCTAAGGAATCAGTGCAGTGCAGAATACAACAGGGAGTGCAGTGCACGCAGTCAGGGCCCGGCTCCCTTTTTCTTTTTACATGGAATTTGGATTAGAATTTGAATCATTCAAACTCCTCATATCATAAGCTTCAATGCTTTCGTTTGCTCAAAGATTCTGGAGCAGCAAAATAGCCAAATATAAACTGCAGTAACAGATGTGCTTATACTTATCCACGGCTCTTTAAACCCAGCTTGTATTTCCTCCTCCCCATTTAATTAGGATAAAGATGCAACTTCTTTGTGATGAGTCAACTATTACTCTTTTGATTATGTCTCCCAATATACAACGATGTGCCATCACACAACAGAATTTTCTGCATGTCTAAATATCGGTTCAAACATTGAAATTTAGTACTCTGCCAAAAAAATTCATTAGTTATTTTAAGTAAATGTAACATTCATATAATGCACCCCGCTTTTGTTCACATGATAAAAATAATAATATTTCTTCCTTTAAAAAAATGAGAATGTGAAGTTTCTATTCTCCTAGGCCTAAATTTGGTTCATAGATCCACCAATTTAATCATAGTTCTAGTTCATTCCTAACTCTCTCTCTCTCTCTCTCTCTCTCTCTCTTTTTTTTTTTTTTGGGTCTGAAGTTCATTTCTAACACAACTCATCTATTGTTGCAGCTTTCTTACAAGCAGTGTCATGGCTAGCCATAGCAATCCTCTCTGAATCAGGCATTTCAATTGGCACCATGACACTATATCTTCTCCTTAGTAATCTCGGTGCTTCAATTGCTGAGGTAGCCAATGATGCCATTGTTGCAGAGGCGGGAAAGCAGTCTAAGTCCTCCAAAAATTCTCAACCATCATCCTCAGGTGAGCTCCAATCATTTTTCTGGATGGCTTCAGCTATGGGTGGAGTCCTTGGATTCCTCCTAGCTGGTCTTTCCATTGACAGATTCTCTCCCCAGAAGATGTTCCTGTTCTATGGCCTTCTCCTTACCGTCCAGTTTTTTCTAAGCATATTTGTCCAGGAGAGTTCTTTGGACCTTCACAAGAGGACAGCCGACGTTGGGATTCAAGAGAAGTTTACAGAGCTCTTGGTTGCACTAAGAGAACCTGAGATTGCTTACTCAATTACATGGTTTGCGGCTTCGTATGCCATTATTCCTGCATTGACAGGCACCATGTTCTTTTACCAGACGCAGTATCTGAATATTGACTCATCAGTGTTGGGAATCTCAAAGGTGTTTGGTCAAGTGGCAATGCTTCTATGGAGTGTCATCTATAATCGTTACTTGAAGTCAGTCACACCAAGAAAACTGATTTCTGCCATTCAGGTTACAATGGCTGTATTTATGGTTTCTGATGTGTTGTTTGTGAATAGGATTTATCGAAATTACATGGGGGTGCCAGACAATTTCTACGTTGTGATGTTTTCTGGCCTTTCGGAGGTTCTCTTCTTTATTAAGATTCTGCCCTTCAGCATTCTTATAGCCAAGCTCTGCCCACGGGGATGCGAGGGATCTCTAATGGCATTTGTAATGTCTGCAATAGCGGTTGCATTCATAGTCAGTGGATATCTTGGTGTTGTGCTTGCGTCGTATGTTGGGGTCAAAGGAAATGATTTTTCAGGGTTTCCGCTTGCCCTACTAATACAGGCACTTCTCACACTGTTGCCTCTATATTGGTCATCTTGTATCCCCGATGATGTAAAATCAAAAACCAGTCGGAAAAAGAAATAGCCGAATATAGTACTGTACAAATCTGAGGATAGGGGTGGGCATATCCTCCGAATTATCCGTGTACCGACCGTATCGTACCGACGGTTTGATTTGATTTGGTTAAATATTTATTTTTTAATTTTAATTATTCCGATCCGATCCGTACCGAGATATTTGGTTTGGTTAACGGAACAATATTTCTAACCCGACGGAAATCCGTACCGATCCGATATTTATACTTATTCTATTATTTAAATACAAAACAAGAAACTAAAGATAAATACAATTAGCACTTTGTATCACTCATTTATCACTGTTGTATAACTTCTTTATCACAATTCTGTCAGTGCTTTATCACCATTCTATCACTTTTTTATCACTCGAGTACTATAACACTTTTTGGTCAGAGATGAATTTATGAATTTCCTATGTTTTCCAGTTTCGACATTTGTCCCTTTTTTTACCTGTAACTTTCCAACCGTTGATTCAAATTTTATTTTCTTTATATGGTTGGATTCAGCATGAAAAACTAAAGAACTTTGCGCAGAACAAATGTCAAAATCATTTACATAAATGTAGAGAATTCAGCAAAAATAACATTCAAATGTTCAAACAACAAACACAAGTGGCTTCCATTACATCTTGAGTATATATTGAATGATATAGTGACTAAGTTATTTGATTTCATACTTGGATGAATTAGACTATTGGATTTTATATTTTACAAGGATAATTTGGTTTATTTATTCAAGAACTTATGTTATGTGAAAGTATTATAAATTGTATTTTTATTAATATGTTTTTATTTCGGTATTACCGGCGTACCGAACCAATCCGAACTGAATATTAGGTTAACCGATCCGAAGTCTACCGAGTCTTTGTTTTGGTTAACGAAAGATAAAATGGTCTATCAAAGTTTTTGGTTTGGTTAACGAAAGAGTCTTCTACCGTTCCGAACCAATCCGTGTCCAGACCTATCTAAAGATATTTTGATTTTTTAACTCAACAGTCCCTATACTCATCATGTACAAGTGGAAGTTTGGTGTGCAGAAAAATAGTGGAGTTATAATATCTTTCACGTTGCAAATAGAAATTTTAACTAGTGGAGTTATAATATATATAAGATTGTCAAAGAGAAACATGTACACTTGCTTGCTTTATATTTTTCAGTCCCCCCAAGCATCCTAGCTCTGTCCTTCATTCTGATTATAAGAGCATCTCCAGCGCTCTTCGGGCTAGGGGGAAAGGCTGCCCGACGCAGCCCGAGTTGGCTCT